TATTTTTATTTTTTTCCAACGAAAAAGGCGATGATCTTCTCTTAATAGAAATGAAATTGTGTGTTTGTTTTGCACATTTTCAAGGCCTACATTCGCAAATGAATCACAGCTGAAATAAAAGTGAAACCTCCAATAAATTGTTAATTCCATTGGATACCACAGCCATACACACCAAACAAAATGTGCTAATTGAATAATGCGTTGGGATTTTGTTTCTTTTTCGATTTGACAACATGATTTTTTGGGCCCTCACAATAGTTAACGGAGCACATTAACGATGAAGTAGAAAAAAACACACAATTTTAAGCGTTGGTGGTAATGAATCAAGCCATTCCCTTTTCACTTTCTCTGCCGCGCACACAATAACACCAAAACTGTTTTTTTTTCTCTACTTTCTCATTTGTGTGTGAACAAATGAAATGAGTCATCGTTTCCGGTGGTATTAATCTATTGATGTTCTCCTGCGTTTTGGATTCTCCTCATGAAAGTCCCACGCTAAATCGACGAACGAATCTTAATCGAAAATAAATAAATATGTTGCAAAACAAACAAGTTACGAATTAGCGGTATGTTCCAACCGTTAAGTTTCGTCAATTGACAGTTAACCACTGTCAGCTGATGGAACAAAAAGTGGCTCCGCAACTCAATTCACTTCGCATAAGTGCCGAACAAATGGAAGAGAGAAGAAGAGCTCAACTCATTTCAAAATTCAATAGGTGCGAAATGACGCACAACAGTTCATTAACCAATTGATTGCCATAACATTGTCATTACATTGTCAAACCATATTCCATACGGGGTGCTTGGTGCGTTGGACATCAACTTTTTTTTATGCCAAAGTGATTAATATTGAGAGCAAAATCATGTGCCGTTATTCACATGCCTTTTTCGTTCAATTATTTGACAACTACACATTATTCTGCCATCTTTTTTTCGGTCTTACTCTCTCTCTCTCTCCCGCTCTCGCTCTATCTCTATCTCTGCTTGTCGCTTTTTCAAATTATTTATCTTCATTTAGTTGTAATTCATTGTTGGTTCTACCAAACAGCAGCCAATACTGGAAGACGATAGAAAAGTAAAGTATCAATTGATGGAAGCAAATCAATCAAAATATCGATAAAGTCTATATTTGTCGTTGGTCACTTCGGTCGGCGGTTCGTCTGACTAAGTGTCGAATCAGAAAGAGTTCAATACACATTTCGGTCTAATAAGAAATTCCAATTTCGGTAATTCGTTTTTCCCGTGGCATAGGTTTTGTATTTGACCAAATGATTGTCGATGCATTTTTTTCTTTCACAGTCAGTTTGTTAAACGCCAAACGAATAGAGAGCAAATAACAACCACAACAACAAAAAATGATCGAAAAACAAAATTGAGTTATTTGGTATTAGATGCGCTGTTGGTAATTACTTGCTACCCCACACAATTGTTCGAAGCTATAATTGAAATAAAACCGGGACACTGACTTGAACCGTGAATAGAAATGCCAAACACAAACCGTGCGGTCCATTGGTAAATAACGTTAATGACAATAATTGTGGTATTGGTAGTGGAAAAAAAATATTTCAATTATTTGAAAACAGTTCAGTTCAATCAGTGGTTTTTTGCTCTTTTATACCCAATCTCCTTCGAATGAATTGGAAAAAACCAAAATTGGACAACAAAAAACACGAAGAACGTACAAGAACAGGACACAGAACAATAAACAATGTTTGGAAAACCAGACGCTTGCGCTTCGAGTGTAAATACTTAGATCATTGGAACTAAATTTCGTTTATAAGATCCAATGAAGAATCTATTTTTCTTTTTAATAAAACCGAATAATTCAATTGTTTGGATAATTTAAATAGTTTTTTCTTACATTTCTTAAATTTTTGGTTAAAAATGATTTTCAATATATACCGAAATACGTTATTGAGCCTCGATAAGAGTTACCTCGATAGAATGACACAACACTTAGACATCTTATAGCCATTGATCGTTCCCTTTCCGGATGTGTACGCAAAAGTACATCGACCAGAGACACTTGTTAATGAACCACTAGTCGACGACCAAAGCTATAGTTTGATCGTTTCAATGACGAAGTGTGAAGTGCAAAGTGAATGAAATGAACACCGGAAGGAATGACGCTGTATTTTGCACGAAATTCTAATCCCCAAAGTGATGTTTCAGAGTCTCGAACTCTACAGAATAAAATATAAGACAAGACAAGAAATAACAACACAACTACGCTGACCGATTTACATGAACATTTTTCTGTCCGTTTTTTTTTTGCTCGGCAAAGTTGTTTCAAAAGAATCATTTCTCAGCGAATTTGTTATATTTTGCAGTTTGCTAATTTAGAGCATGATCAGATGTACAGAGGACGAAATACAAATGTACAAAATGTACGTGAAAATATCAAAAACTCCGAAAACAATTGAAGTGTCTTCGAAAGAATTAGAATCAGAATCTTCTCCTTGATAAACTTCATTTTCCACATGGTTTTCGTTTCAAAATCCATTGTCCTTTATGTTTGATAATGGAATTTCAATGCGGTTGTAAATATAGGGACACTTTGTTCAGAGCCTAAAATCCTATCGAATGAACCCCATATTTGATGACCATTTGTTATTGTATCGTTTCAATTTTCGTCACAACAATGTTGTGCGTAACATTTTCGTTGAGATTTCATTGGTCGTTTCATCAATTTTGTTGTTGTTTTTTCTTTATTCGTTTCGGTTTTGGGCATTTTGATTGCGTCCAGTTCAATGGCATGCAAACTGGGATGTTAAAAGTCAATGTTCGTAACGACATAACCAAACACAACTGTTGAACTGCTTCCACTTCCAATACACGCTATATAATAGAAAATAACAACTACACAATGGATATAATAGGCTAAGAAAGGGACATTATTAGAAAAATATTGGAAGAAAATGTGATTTTTTTTCGGTTTTATTCAAAAGTTTGTGCGTGTGTGCGTGTAGCGTACACAGCGATTTGGTGAAAATGTTTCAATAAAACATACGCTACATTTTGTCGCATTTATTTTTATTTAGTTTTTGTTTTGTATTTTCCAGAAGGGAGATAGAAAGAGAGTGAGAAAGAGTGGGGAATAGGGTGGATATTTTTTTCTTATCGAGGTCGTTGACATTTACTGGTGGATAATATATATTGAATTTTAAATTGATTTCGAATTTAATTGCCAATAATTATATCAATTGAACGGTATAACTTATACCGTATAAGTATAGAAGCAAAGGGAAGTAGAACCGGTAATCGATTATATGCAACGCCCTCAATACGATTTGATTTATGTTTGCGTATGTGTTTGCAACCGTTCTCTCTCGCTCTCTCTCTCTATGTGTGTATAAACGATAGTCGTTTTCGTTCCATAGATTCGGTTGCTATGTGACATGCAATGTGTATGTTTGTGTTAAGCCGGTCATCTTAACCAATAATGTTTTTTTATGCAACTAATCTAAAAACCGAAGCAAAAACAGAGCGAAATAAACAATATCTTGGCAATGAAAGCATTTGAGTGTCGCATTATTCACACATCGTCTCTCACCATCACCGTCGTCGTCGTCGTAGTCATTGGTCATGTAACCTTTATAAGATTGCCGTATATGCCGGTAAAGAAAAATTATGACAACCAAATGGGAGCAAATGACAAGCGAGCGGGAGCAATAACAACACGAATGAAAAAAAAAAGAGAAACACAATAGCAATAGCAACAGAGACGTGCAATCAAGCCCGCATATGTGTGCCATCAGGCGTAACTGAAACCACATTTGTACGATTTTTGATATCTTGTTATCGTTGAGTCTTGGCATTCCATATTATTTCATTCTCTTTGGTAATAACAGGAGGAAAAAGACACAAACATATGACAAGAGTGTGTGTGTGTCTTTAATGTTTGTGCATTGAAGAGACGCGCGTGCATTTCAAAAATCAATATTATTCTTGGCCGACCGTAGAGAGAGAGAAAGAGAGAGAGAGAGAGAGGAGGTCGTCGACCGAGAATCAAATATCTAGAAAGTATTTCACCTTTGTCCTGCATCTACACTCTAATAATATAATTCACGTGCACCGCAGCCAAGAGGCATGTAGAGAGTGTGGTGGCAATTTGGAGGCCAGTAGCCGGTGACTGAAAAATATGCCTCAAACCAACGATATAAGCAGAGTTTATTAAATATAAATTTCGTATCGATTTTATTTCCCATTATCGGAGCAATTTTTGAGGCCGATATCACGATACAAACACACACACACACACACACACGCGCGCGCTAGGAATTGGAATAGGGCCGAATGTGGCATGAATGAGGGGTTGGCGTTTCTTATGGTGTGTATGAAATTACTTTTTTTACTTACTATTTTTAACGCAAGTAGAGGGTGAATAGCACCGATGATAATAGCCTCAAACACATAAAACCCTCCCGTTTCTTATGCAAAATATCGGAACGAAAATTGGAAATATTTTCAATTTCCTGTGTTCTATTGTCCCGGATATGACAGCACACACACATTCCTCTCTTGCGATTCGCTCCAAAGTAAAGCAGCAACAGTACAATGAAATGAAAAATTCGATTGCGTAGCACACAACTATCAAAATTCGATGCATTGCTGACTGCTCTTTACCGAACAGATTTGTTGAAACGACAACAGTGGTTGCTTTTTTTTTGTTTTCTTTTGCTTTAATTGCACGATAAACAGTCGATCGACATGAATGGCAATAGCATATGAATGAAAAAAAAAAGTATTTTCTGCATTTACAAAAACATTAAGTGGATCGAAGGCGACGGATAACAGAAAGTAAAATCGGATAAAAAAAAACGCACACAAAACCAAGGCACAGTTGAATGCAAAAGATAATAATAATTTAAACAAAACCAAGAAAAAAGAACGCGCAGCAGAACCAAATTTATGAGTACATACTAGTATAACGGAACTACAGCTGCAAATGTGATGAAATATTCAGTGTTGAAAAGTTTTTTTTTTGTTCCTTTCTTTACCTTTTATTTCCAATTGTTTTCGATGTGTGTTCCTCTCTGCTCACATGCCGTGCAATGATTTAGGCTTTTTCATACGCTTTCTCATATGCACACGCACACCAACTCTGTGCATGTATACACCAACAATAACCACAACAACAACAAAACCCAAACAATTTCACTTTAAACACACCGATTTATCCTTCAGTTCAGGTGAACTCTTTTTTCGGCTCCTTCTTTTTCTTTTATTAAATTCGAATGTTATTTAAGTGATTATCAACTCAATAACAAAAAAAAGTTATTTAAAAATTTAGGTTATCAGAGCAGTTCAATGTACAATCGGATTTGTTGTTTGTTTCTTTCTGTTTGCTTGACGAACGTACGAGGATAAACTTTATTCACTCTATGGCTGGATTGTATTTTGCTCAATTAAAGTTTTCGGTTTTTGTATAGCACACTAATTGCTTTTAATCACCTGAACTATTTTGTAATTGACCAAATTTTTTTTTTCATATGGATTGACATCGATGTTTTTAGTTGCTTTTGATGATTAACACTGCCACCTCAAATTTGCCACATGCAGTTTGTCCATTCATTGAATGTGTTATATTTTCCCGACGTTTCAATTATTCGATTCGATATTATATTATTGACCAATTTTCGTTGCTTTCCGTAACGAAAATCGCAAAATTCTTCAAATCCTGATAACAATTCCGAATTTTTTTACAACGAAATAAAAAAAATTCAATTTTTATCATTCACAAATGCACGTCGTTTCGAACGAGAAACAAAATAAAAACTCAACTGTCAACTTGAGAAAGATTGTGTGTTCGGGAATTGTTTGTGTGGGGCCTACACTGATCGGTCCTTTTCACGCGATTGACATAAATGATGTTGGTTTCTATCAGTGAAAAATGAAATCTTTTGACGCTTTTGTATGTTTCACTCAGCGAATGTGGTGCGTGAAATCGAGTGTTTTGTTTGCATTCACTTCAAAAACGGTTTTATTCTTATTCAATTGATACGTTCACCGATTCGTTCTCACCATAATCCACGTTTGAATCAATTTTTCGGCGAATCAAATGTGCATTCGATTTATCCTGCCCAGCAGATATCTTAGGTTCATGGACCTCTTTTTTCCACATACGAAATGCGTCGATTGTGCTCGCATTTACAAAGACAAGAAACGATCATTCCTTATTTCATAACGCGTTGCTTATTCACTTTAAAATCCGACTAAAAACCACTTCAGAAAGATCGAAAGCAACAAAACATCAAACAACAATTTTTTTTTCGTTGTTGTTGTATGTATGTGAGAGAAAAAGAACAAATCACCGTGTTGTCGTAACGCAGTTTGAAAGCAACAGCAAAACTCGAACTTCGTGCGCTTACAAAGAGATGCAATACTCGACTGAATTGAACGTTCAGTCGGAAATACGCTAAGAGCACACACAGCGTACACAAAAGCCAATGAGCCAACTAGAGCTAGGCACTCTGTTCCGTCACATACAGCGTGCAAACGGTAAGGTCGAAATATGTATATATGCTTGGTTGTTTTGTTTCTTCTTCTTCTTCACGCCATTCTATTCTCTGTGTCTGTCTGTTTATATTTTGGTTTCGTCGCGCTGCCTTGTTGCCTCGTTGCTTCGCATACACACACTCTTGGCGCGGAGTGCAAGTGCTTCACTATGCTGCGATGCATGCAGAACGGAGTGAAGGAGAGAGAGAGAGGGAGAGAGAGAGAGAGAGAGAGAGACGAAGTGTTTTATTGGTGGTACTGATAAGTTGCGATACGTTCAATTGCGTTCGCTACCATGGAATCAAACTATATATTTCGGTACGATCAGCGAAACGATTAACTATACAAAATAATCAAATCCGTCTTACACACTAGTGGCGGCACACAACTTAGCAAAAAAAAACCAAAATAAATTCAACGTTTTAGCCAGCATTGAACACTTTTTCTCCCTTCGATGAAAATGCGCCTTTGTGTGTGATGCATTAGATTCAGTTTACACACAATCGGAGTGAGTTTGCGTGCGAAAGGAGAGAAGAGAGGAGAGACAAACGAAATATGTCGCATTGAACGATGAGAGTGAACGTCTCTTGATACAGTGTCAGTGTGGCGAACACTTACTCTTTGTTTCTTGGAATTGTTGTTCCGTCTTCTTTTTCTTCTGACAAATTGGTTGGCAGCACAAACACAAGTAAAAAAAAATAAAATTCTATAACTAAACACAACAAAAAAAAAAAATCAAATATTGTTTTGTTTATTTTTTTAATGTGATTTTTTTTTTGCTTGTGTTTGTGCTGCCAACCAATTTGTTAGAAGAAAAAGAAGACGGAACAACAATTCCAAGAAACAAAGAGTAAGTATTCGCCACACTGACACTGTGTCAAGTGGACATTCATTTGCATCGCTCGTTGCAACACATTTCGTTCGTCGCTCCTCTCTTCTCTCCTTTCGCACACGCACTCACTCCGATTGTGTGTAAACCAATGTATATGAATGTCCGCGCTTGAATGTAGAGCGCTCGTTTACTCACAGTGACGTTCGCAGTCACTGCATTCAGTTACTGAGATCTCATCACAAAATTGAATATCTATGCTGAAATGATTCTCTGATTAGATTCGATGCATCCTAAAAAAAAGATGCTCGGTTTGTGGAAATTCAATTTTCTAACATCCAGCACTGACTTCATCAGTCAAAATTAAAATAGTTTCGAATGCAAATCGACTAAGTCAGTGCATTGAAAGCAAAAAGGATGTTAAAATATTACAGATTCATGTTCAGCCCAGTTCAGCCAGTATGAAAATTCGGAAACTATCCATCGAAAACGCATATATTACGTCATCTTGTTGGATGTTGAATGTTGGTATTGTTTTTATGTTAACTGGTTTATTTTTCGTACAGCGCCAAATACAATAATGTTAAAATTAAATTAAAAACTTAAAGTGATGTAGCGATCAGGAATATGCAATGCAATTGCGGTCGATTCTTCGATACGAGTCCAGTTTTGAAAGTTGAGTTTAGAAGCGCATTTGTGTGCTCGCCTTTGAAAATGATGTAAGCAATAGAGTAAAGCAGCAGCAGCAGAAGGAGAAGGCAGCTGAAGCCTATTCGATAGAATGTGCATTTACAGTGCCAATGTTTTGGTATGACGTATTGTAATTGCCGAGTTCAAAGTTGTTTGCATAATGAGTAGATGTGTATGTGTATGTGTGTGTGTGTGTGTGTGTGTGTGTATGTTGCGTTTACATTTTGATCGTCTCTCATTGCTCGATGCACGCGGATACTACGTACATTCTTCGATGCTATTCGCCCACAAGCTGTTTGCCAAATGAGTTGTTTGATTTACTTTTTGCCACTCTCGATTGATGGGTGAATCTTATGCAAGTTTCTTCCATCGACACATTTGAATATATGCACGAACTAATGGAATGGAGAGAGCGAAAAGCAACAACAACAACAACAAAAAAAAACACATCATTTTCATAATCATCATAAATATATTATTTTGACAAAGAGAACTCTATTAATGCATATTCCCGTTCGATGCGGATGGTTTCGGGGTGCGTTGTATCGAATTTTCTTGGGCGATTTTGTATGTGTTTTTTTCTTGGTGACTAGACTTAGCCTATGGCACGAATACAGCACGATTCCATTCGGTAATTATGCGCACACATTTCGCTGTTCCACGGCGCGTTTCACTTTTTTTACAGTCCACTTTATATGATGTAACCCACTATTTAAAGTTGCATTTCATTTTTTTAACAAGATCTTTCTCCAATTGGCCCTGCTGACTGTAGCCGTATGCCATCAAATCGGCTCATTTGAATTTCTTTGGGTGCATCTCATTTTGAACTCTTTTTTTTTCATCACACTCTTTTCGTGTTAAAAGTTTTCAACGCAGTCGGAAAATGAGAGGACGAGAGCATAGCGTAAGTAGAAATCGTTTAAGCTATTACTTGAACAGTAATAACGATTCAATGGATAATTATTTCAGCCGCATGTACATTCGAATTATACGGAATCACCGATCATTTCACTCATAACATACGAAAAACAGATTTTTCGTTACTAAATGTAAAACTATACGCCGGAGGACAATTTAGTATGAAAAATTTGAAAAAAAATATATGTATGTTTATGCTCCACACACAGAAAATTCAAACGGTGATTTTTTTTTATTATGTTACGTCTTTATCGAAAAACCGGTAGCAATGTATCCATCGATCGTTTCAAAAATACTACAATATTTCAGAGAATTTTAAAATGTTAATTACATTTTCTCACACTGGGTATGCAATTAAATAATTACTCGAAATAACCGCAATGGATATATCTTCGGCACACCATTTAAAGAAGAAGAAGAAGAAGAAGCAGGGAAAAGGCTTAGATATAAGCACAACGCAATGCTAAACGATTCAAAGCGAACCCGAAGTGGATGATGCTAAACGAACGTGATCAGGCGCTATCAACCGTACCGTTAATTGTTTCGATCGCCACACGGAATGTCCACCAAATGTACGGCCAACGATGTTACATCGCTAATACAATCCAACGACGAAGACGACGAAGACGACGAAGACGACGACGACGACGACAACCAACTTAGAATTTGAGCGAAAGAAGAGAAAAAAAGCACCAAATATTTCAAATATAATCACAAACAACATGTACGATTTAATAAATGATAATGATGGTAATGTTCGAATATCAACTGAAAACCCCAGAGAGACACATAGAGAAAGAGAGGTTCACAAGAAAAACGGCTGTGGCACACACGCATGCCATGAAACACATCTTTACATTCCATTCAAACGGTCGTCGTATTGTCGCAAAATGCCAAACAACAGCGAGACACTACTGCGAGAAAGAGAATATCAACTGTCGCACAGGAAACATCCATAAATCAGCCATTCAAGCCAATTGTTACAAGATGTGCACTCGATCCATTGATCTCTCTCTCTCTCTCTCTTTCTCCACATCTCTCTTGATCTTCTGCGCCTCATTTTCTTGGTCGCTGTGCGATTATTTGATGTCATCGAATCAACGATACACACAAAGTGCCAGCATAATTGAAAATAATAACATTTATTATGTCATTATATAATTATTGCTAGGCGACAAAAACAAAAAGAAAGAAGGGAGAAAAAAATGAAACCAAAAGAATTCATCCGATTTGCTTTCATTGTGCGCTGCATGCTTTTCACTCTCTCTATCTCCTTCTCTGTGGTTGGTTGTCTTCAAAGAGCGAAATGTAATCGACCTGTTGCCGAAGAATTTTCCCTGCACCCGAAGAGAAAAGACAAAAAGAAAACATTAACAACACAACGTAATCGCATGAGAACTTGAGAATTTCAGTCTGCAGCCCACGCTGTTAATTTGTAAATAAAATATCTATTATTTTGCTTATATTGGCAATCAGTTCTCTTGCTCCCTCGCTCCCATTCTCTCTCGTTCTCGCTACGTCTTTCTCTCGCTCTCACTCTCTTCTAACTCTGGCGCACACACATTTCTATATTCTGTTTGCTAGATTTGACGACAAAATGACGATGAAAAGTGCATTACCTTGACAGCCAAAAGTTCATAATGGGAGAGCGATGTAATGAAATGGCCATATTTTTTATATGATTTAGAACTGTTATTTTCATTTAAACAAAGACCATCAATCTGGCCGCAACTCACAACTCATGCAAAAAATGACATTCAATTGATTGAATATGCAATTGTAAAATACGTCGTGAAAGTCTATGCCGATGTCTTACTGAACCGATTGCTTAACAGTTAAACGATGATTATTATACTTCACTAGTGGGTGCATATAATTTCAACAGCAACAACAACGAAAAAAAAAAACAAACAATGTCAAATTGAGCAGTTCGAGAGCGGGCATATCAATCGATGGCTTTTGGTTGAATGTGCTATGCAAACGGTGTGGCCGGGTTTGTGTGTGTGATTTATTCTACACATATCGATTCATTTCGTCGCGCATTCATATATGCGCAATGAATATTAAAATTTATAACATAAATAAGAAATGAAAGAAAACTATAGAGTGAATGTCATTGCGCTTGGATAATTGAAAAGTAATCATAAGCGCACAAATGGGAACATGTTGCAGGAACGAGAGACAGAGAAGCAGCAACAACAACAACAACGGCGATGCTGACGTTGAATAAAACGCCATGTAGAATGAATGTGCGGAACATGAAAGCACGTAAATATCAAAATAAATCATTAAAGCACGTAGTCTCAAGTTCAAAGCAACAGTTAGGCAAAGACGAGAGAAAGATGCACATTGAAGAAATTGGTCATGAGAGAATTCAAATCATAGGCTGTTGCATAAAACTATTTGACTATTCTTATCTATTTGGAACCTCACACAAAAGCCATTCAACTGTACGCT